TGGAATAGCCTCGCCTCTGAGGGAATATGAACATTTTTTATGCTTAGCTGTTCCAGCCGTGAAGATTTTTATCCTATTACTGCTAAGTGACGAGTACAAGGAGAGAAATGATGATGATCTTTGGCAGCCATTCCAACTGAGTAAATACAAGGAGGGAGACAGGCAATCCCAGACTGGGCCGCTGCCCCTTCATTTCCCAGGATGAAAAGGAGCAAAGGAAAAATGTCTTCCTGGTGAGACGTATCGAAGTGTGGAATTTTCCCTCCAGGCAAGCGATGGGTATCCCACTGTTGGAACCATTTAGCACCGCCCTGGACAGAGGCTAGGAGAGTTGGCTGAGGGGAACAATGAGACCCAGCCGGCCAGGGGAGGTGACCTAATGAGGCTTCCCAGCTGCAACGCCCTCCTGCTCGTGGCTCCTGGGTGCAGTCTACCCTCACACCTGCTTCCCTGCGCTCAAAGCCACCCCCTAAGTATTGCTAGGCAACTGCAGAAATAGACATTTGCTTTATCAAAATATTGCCCTCCGTGCTCCAGTGGTGTGTCTCCGTTGAATGACTTCTCGTCTGCCAGATGTTTTCTGTGCTCCTCCGATGATGGCAAACCCAGCTGCTGTCACCCAAATGTGGTGACAGTGGTGGGGGTAGGACAGCCGGAAATCAAGGACTATTTGTTGGACCAGTCAGTGCTTGATAAACAGGAGAACTCCGCTGGGAAACGTGCTCAGACTCACCCCACAGACGCTGTCCCTTCCGTGCACTGACATAGTTATTTACGGCACACTTACCCCGATACCGACAGCCACGTCTTCGTCCTCGCCACCCCAGCGGACCTCGGCGGGGCCCCGGGAGTTAAGGCTCTCGTCCATGTTAACAGGATTGTGGGTCTCAGGGAACAACGTGGCACTAGGTGGGCCCGACGCCAGTGCAACCATGAGATTCCCACGGAGGCGGGCGGGAGAGCCGCGTGCGTGGACGTGGATACATCTGGAAGGGAAGACCGACCACGAAGAGCACGCGGGCGTGGGGGCTGCAGCGACTCTGCACTGATAGAGCTTCGAGGCCATCTAGTCCGAAGCGATGAGAGAACGAAGCCGAGAGAGGACATGCCGAGGGACGTGCGGAAGGCCACTGCTGGGCACCCGGTCCCCACGCCTCCCATGGGCCCTGGATCAGGAATGAGGAAACTGAGCCACGGCCAAGATGTGTCGAAAGGCCGAGGATAGCATTCTTCCCATCTCAAGACTGGAAATGTCACATGTTAGGTCGGGGGTGGTGGGTGCGCATGGGAAGGCTCCGTTGTCAACCCCAAAGGGTGAATGTGCAGGGGATCCATTCGAAACCACAGGTACTCACTTTCTAAACTAGCCTGGGTGTGGACATCACTCACTGCCCCTCCACCCCCATAAAGCCTGGGAATGGGGAGTTCCAAGCCTGCCTCCTCGCCTTGGTCACCCTACTCTCCTGGTAAACCCAGCCACCTCCACAAAATGCCTTGGGCTCCCTGGCACAGAGGACCGAGATAACAATGTGACAGTTCCATTCCACATGGGGAAATGAAGCCCCCGGCCTCTGTGGGGCTGCTTTCCCTCGGTGCCGGGCCACGACATGCTGGGAAGGCTTCTGTAACTGCCAATGCACCTGGCTTTTCCATCGGCCCAGCTGCCTGTCGGGTGAAAACTCCCACAGCCTTGTCCCCTTCCCGCCACCCGCTGCCTCCTCCAGCCTCACGGCATCTTTGGATTCCTGAGCGATGCCCCCCAACACCCGCCTCCCAGCAGCGCGTGCTCTAATGCTCAGCTAATAGTTCTGTCTCAGGCGCTTGTCCACACGCGTCCTATAAATCAGAATCCAATTACGGTGGTAAGAAAATTGGAAGCAAATTTAATAAGCTCAGGCCACTCCCCCATGCTGTTTCTTCACTCTTATCTTCCCAGTAATGAGAACTCCTTTCATAGACTCCGTTCTCCTGCCTCCTCATCCAAAGTGCCCTAGGATGGAGGGAGTGGAGGAAGGCGGCTGCTTCTCCGCCCTCTTTGCCTCTTTGTATGAAAGGCAGATGGGGGAAAGTAGTCAAGAGTCTTTGCAGATTTGCTCTCCCTCTCCTTTGTTCAACAAATGTTCTTGAAATTCTGTCACACATCAGATGCTGTACTAGGTGCCAGAAAAGATGTCCACCCCCCCCCCCCGCCAGAGGGCGGAAGGCCTCGTCCCGTTGCTGGGGCTCATAATGCACTTTGATGTTTCAGTCTTGAGAACTCAGGTAACAGGCGGGGCTGGCTCTACAGCAGGGGCTCGCTCTCACTGCAACTCGCCCCTCCGGAGACGTCGGCAGTGTCACAACATGGGCAGCGCCACTAGCATTTAGTGGGTGGAAGCCAGAGAGGCTGCCCAGTAACCTACAATGCGCAGGACAGCCCTCACAGCAAACTGTGATCCCCAAATGCCAGCCACTGACTGAATCCCTGGGCGACAGGAGATGGGTCACCAGCAGCCACAGCTGGTTGGAGCTGGGGTCAGCAGGGCCCAAGAAGGGCCCCAGGGCTCCGTCAGCCCAGGCCGGCTGGCCCCAGGCATTACATTGGGAGGAAGTCAGGATACAGGGAGGCTGGAATCATAGGATGAAGGGACTTAGCTGTTCGTTTTAACCTCACGGACACCGATTCCCTGAGAGGAAAGGGCTGGAAGGAGGAGATCCTGCAGACAGAAGGTCAACCCCCAGTGGGGCCCATGGGAGGGAAGCACACTGGGCTGCGCTGGCAGTCTCTGGAACTCTCGTTAGCGCAAGAGTGATCTGTGCACAGGGTCAGCCCCATACCACACTCAGCCTGGACATGGCTGATCCGATTGTTCGCCTCTGCTGGTGCCAGCCTGGGGCTCTGCACACGGTCGGGGCTCGACAGCCCTGCCACGGCTGCCTGGTCCCGTGCGCCTGCCCTCGTTCCCAATCCCCCGTCCTCTCCTCTTCCTGCTCTTTCGGATCAGGAGCCACAGATCTGAAATTCTCTAAGTCACACAATCCCAGCTCCCACAGGGCAAGGTTAGTGCCCGGAGGCAGACATATGGCTGATGGACTTTTCCTTTTTGTCTTCCCAAAGGGGGCCTTAGATTGCATCTAAATCCTCTCTGCCCCTCTTGCTCCCTGGCAGCAGATCACACTTACCTGATAGATACAACACACTCGGAGAGGGCCCCGAACAGGACCTGGTAAACTCCGATCCTTGGGGACGGTCTCGGTTCCCCCCCCCCACAACCCACACATATGTCCAGCCCTCGTAAACCACTTTCATTTCGGCCTCTCAGATCACAGACGAGGGTGAACGCAGAAATCCGTCCTGCTCAGGGTGCCCCCTCGAAGCGGCCTGCTCAGTGAATCCCCCACTCCATGCCTCCCTTCTGCGGGCGGGAGCAGAACTCACACCCAGATGCACTGGTCTCTTTCCTGGCCGGGAGGCGGCCCTTCGTCCTTTTGGAGGGTCTCACCATCTGGACTCAGGACAAGGGCGGGACCACCACCTGAGACCAGGGGGGGCTTCTCAGCCTTCCTCCCTGTTCCGCCTGTCGTCTCTGCTCAGGGAAATAAAATTACCTAATTCCTTTTTAAAGGTTTTATTTATTTATTTGAGAGAAAGAGCACGAGTGGGAGGGGAGAGGGCCAGAGGGAGAGGGAGAAGCAGATTCTCCGCTGAGCAGAGAGCCCGACACGGGGCTTGATCCCAGGACCCCAAGATCATGACCTGAGCCGAAGTCCGATGCTTAACCGAGAGAGCCACCCAGGCGCCCCCAAATTACCCAATTTTTAACAAAAATTCTATCAGATGCCAAGGACCAGGATAAGTGCAGGGGAATTTTGATAGCAATATTACAAGACTCTGACTTGAAGAGGCTTTCAGGCCAGCAGCAGGGAGTGTTCGAGGTATAGCCAGTGCCCCAGATCTCTGGCTGTGGGGGATTTCCTGCTGCTCAGAAGTGTTCAGTTTGCAGACTCTTGCAGTCTTCTTCTGAAGACTTCTTCTGAAGCCACAGATGCCTTATAGCTCATGGCCCTGGCATCACTTCTATAGGGAAACCGGCTCCTTTTACGAACGATGGTGATTAACATGAGCTCCTCCATGGGATGCGTGCTATGTAAGTCAAGGTTTCTGAGTTTGTACATACAGCCTAGTTGAGGAAACTGAGTCCACCCCCCTTTACAGACTGACAACTTAAGCACCACCAAGTTGACCAACGTCATAAGTCATGAGAATTCTTACCGCCCTGCTCATAAACCGCAGTGTCCACAAACGGGTACCCACGGACCCAAAGACAGAACGCTAAGAAGCTAACACCAGTCCCCCAGCCTCTCAATTTAACAATGCCTTCAAGCCCCTCCACCCCAAACATGCCAGTCTGCTATTTGGAGCTGGTGCCAAGTGAATTTCCTGCAGCAGACAGAAACACACCCCAGTGCGCCTTTGGTGCAGCTGGGCCTCCCAGTTGTAGGCAGGGAGGCCAGCACGGAGGAGCTGGGGTTGAGACAGACCTGCTTACTCAGGCCTCACGAGGAAGCAAAGGCCTGCTCTGACTCTAGGAAGGATTGGTAATGAGGCAACGTGCCTGGGCTGCCTGAGGAAATGAGCCCTCCCACCAACCTGACTTCCCAGGGGTCTGCCCATCCTGCCCTCCCTCCGTTTGAAAGCCACGCCAGGCCTGGCCGTGGGAATCTGCCAGGGAAACCAGGCCCAGGCTATAGGGTCTTTAGTGCTCCATGATTTCAGGGTGACCACCAGGTGAGGGGGCCAGGTGCAGGCGGAGGGGCCTCCCACATTCTCCCTGGAGGTGCCTGGGGATGGCTCACAGTAATGAGCGGTGCAGACAGCGTCAGCTACCATCCGGCCGGCAGCAGACAGTGCGTGCCTGCCCTAATCCATGGCCTGGGCCCTGCCCGAATCAAGCCTGCCCTTGCTCTGTCATGACCACAGGGAACGGGAGAAAGTAACAAGTGGGAGCGGTCACACATACCTCAGATGGCGGGTGTCGGGGACCGCCCGGCTGCTGGAGATCCGCTCGCTCTCCCGCTGGTTGAAAGCATACAGCTTATAGGGATCGTCACCGACGCGCCACTTTTTGGCATTCAGATACTGCCGCTCATCAAACTGGTCCCATGGGTCTTCCCAGTCGGCATCCAAAGTCTGCGGAGCACAGATGGGAAGTCAGGGAGAACAGCTCCCGGCCCTCCCCAGCCTTCTCTGTCTGTCGCTGCCCAACTGCAGAGAATAGGTTTGTCCCGGCAAAGTTTTTGCCCAAGGATGGGGCCAGAGGGAAGAGGTTAATAAAACCACCAGCAGCAACAATAACACACGGAGTGACACAATGAGGGTAGCTGCCTTTTATGGAGTGCTATGTACAAGGCGCTGTGCGGAGAACCTCTACTCCCTTCCCCGGGAGTCCCAGGAGGCGGGCAGTGCTCATGGTCTGAGGATGAACACAAGAAAACAGCCTCCACAGGCCAAGGACTTTGCTCAGGATCCCACCTTTAGGAAGCTGGCAGGCCTGGAACTTGGGTTCTAGGATCCTGAGCCCACAGGCCTCCTCGCCAAGGCACTCTGACAACACCTGGCTGAAAAGGGCCAGCACTGAAGCTGGAACGTAGCAGGTAGAACGACTGTATGACCGTCACTGCGCCCTCTGCCATAGGAAGAGCTGGGAGGTAGGCGATCCATCTGTAATAGTGTGCTCCCCACCGGATAGACACCTGTGTGTTCCCTTCTTCCTCCAACCCAGGAATCTGTGATTATTTTTTTTTAAGATTATTTATTTATTTGAGAGAGAAAGAGCATGTGGAGGGGGTGGGGGAGAGGGAGAGAGAGAGAATCTCGAGCAGACTCTGTACTGGGTGTGGAGCCTGATGAGGGGCTCCATCCCTGAGATCATGACCTGAGCCAAAACCAAGAGTCGGACACTTAACCGACTGAGCCACAGAGGCCCCCCTAAATCTGTGATTATTTTTAAGAAGCATCAATGCAGGAACAAGTAATATCCTCACCATATGTGGAGACAGCACTTTCGAATGTGTAAGGTAGCTTCTGTATTCATGATCTTGTTCCCTTCTCCCCAGACTCTCTGTGCTGAGCTGGGAAGACAAGCTCTCACCCAAGTTCTGGGCTTGTCTGCACGGGTGCGACAGTGGCCGAGCCCAAAGCAGAGCTCAGGCTCCTGGGCCGTCCGGTGCCTTCGCACAGCAGAGAAGGCGAGGGTGTTTATATAGGGAAGGCATGGCTCATGCTCAGAGCCATGCTGCCTCCTCTGCCCTGCCCACACCAGCTCAGCAGCCAGGCAGAGGCTCTCCGCACAGCCGGCCGGAGCTGTGGGCTTCAGAGCCTCCGCACGCTGGATGCTTCCCTCGATGGCCCCTACCCAGCGGATGCGGGCACTTTCACCCCGAGGGGAGAGCCACTCCCCTTTGATGAACTTTCAGCTTCATCAAAGCAAAAAGAACTCCGTATCTCTGGGAAAAACCTATTGACCAGGCTCTGCCCTAGAATGTGAGGGCCGGGGCCCTGGGGCTAGAAACGTCCCCAAGGATGAGATGCTCACTCATGTGTTACTGACCCCTAGTCACTGTGCAAATATGAAAAGCTGCCCGGACACCACCCCTCCCGCCGCTGACCAGGATACCCTCCTGGACATGGGGAACATGATAGGAAGGCCCAGGGCAGGCCCCGCAGATGGCAGGACGGGTGCTCCACCCACAGAGGACTCCAAGGGGTGGTTCACCAGTGTGCACATTTATCTCACGCACCACTCGATCTTATCTGGTAATTGATCTGCCTCTCTCTCTCTCTCTGTTATCTCCTTTTGAAACAGCATTCTCTTGCTAATAGCACAAAATGAACCTTTGGAAATCAGCGATTTTTATCCAATAATTGATTTTATGAATGTCCGGGGATACTGCTGCTACACAGGGGGCGGTGTGTAACCTCCCCCCGCCCCCGCCACCAGCCTGTGCTGTGCAATGTCACAGCCTGACAGCTGTCACCCATGCTTGGAACATCACCACAGGGTGACCCTGACATCAAGGGGCCTTGTACCATCTCCCACTGGCTCATTCCCAAATAGATTCATTGCAGTTCTCTCAGTCAGTGGTGAGCTCCTACAGTGCTCTGTGCTATGGAGGAGAGATGCAGAGATGGAAGGTCCTAGCCCTCAAGGGGGTTGCAAGGTGGCAGAGAGACATGCATGAAGACACCTAGAACACCTATACCAGAGGAGTGAGGGAAATGGGAAGGGCTACCTGGAAGAGGTGTCAGATCAGTTTGTGCTTGAAAGATGAGCAGGGAGTTTGCTTTGCTTAGGAGGAAATGGGAAGGGAAATACATGTATACGTGTGTAGTGAAAACCCAGATAAAAAGCAGGAAGACCCGGAGGAGGGAGAATCTGTTCAGGACGCAGCCAGCTCAGGAACGGGGCGGCCAGAGCGTGGGCTGCAAAGAGTCTGTGAGTGAAAGAGAACTCTGGAACACAGCTGGGTCTGTATGAAGCAGCTCAAGTGGAAGGGTTTCTGGCCACACGTGCAGGATGAAGTGGAGGGAAGAGGCTGCCGCAAGAAGCCCAGCTGGGAGGGGAGCTCAGGGACTGAACCTGGTGGGAAGGGAGGCCTGAATGGGGAGGTTCCATGAATCAGCTGGAGAAGCAGATGGAGGGGCAGGCCCTGGAGACAGGCTGGAGAAAGGGCAGGTAAAGACCTCTTGGCCTCATCCCTTACTCTCTATTCACACCAGACCAGGCCCAGGGCCAAGAGGGCATAAGGCCGGGTTGTTTGCTCAGCCTGGCAATCACCACCCTATGGGCAGCAAAGCATCCCTGGCAGAATCCGCCTCCTTCAGGACAGGGCCATGGGAACTCAGCTGGGATTCTGAACCCCAGAAAGTCCAGAGCCTGAGTAACAGCCTGGCTGGTGAGAAAAACTGAACAGTCAAAGCCTCCTTGGAGGGGACCGCGCCCTCCGATGGTCACGTGCACAGAGCAGGTTCACACTTCGCTGCACTGAGATCCACTGGGGGCAACCCCCTGTCCTGGGAGCTTGGTTTTCCTACAACAATATCTGGATGTATTGAATAATAGTGATGCTGTGTTTAAAATATAAACGCTACCATCTGAATAACAATTTCTATTTTACAAGGCTGCTTGCACATATTGCCACAGAATACACACATAACCCATCTGTACGGGGAGGAATCGGCAGAGAGGAGAGCTGGCTGGCTTGCCCAAGCTTGATGGCTAGAAAGGGGCTACTGAGCGAATCCTTCCCAGAACCTCGCAACGCCTCTGTCTTACCACGGAAACCAGGAAACCAATCGGGGGCACGTCCTCTGCTGAGAGCGAGTGGACAAAGGAGCGAGGTGGGGGCCATGCCCACAGGAAGGACCAGCCACTCTTTCCCTGCCGGTCCCCGGATTAAAGTGGCTGTGGCCCTCCCAGGATTTCTGAAGGGCCCCAGACTCCCCCAGGTATTTCCAGTACTAATCTGGAGTTGGCTTCCAAGCTCTTCAATTCATGAGGCCCCATATTCAGGCTCCGAGAGCCCAGAGGGCGGCACATGGTCCCCATGCTTTGGATTCCTTGCTTCCTGGCTCCTGTGACCATCCGGGGCAGGGCCTGAACATGCACGTGCAGCTTCGCAGACTTTCCCGTTCCGGGAAGTGATGACACTGCTCTCCCAAATGAGAATGCACACCCAGGAACCCACACAAGGTCCCACCCCAGGCCTCGGCCCCCTCCTGTGTGGCGCCCCCCAACACCCACGGCCCCCAAGCAAGGTCTCACTTGACTCTCTGACCAGAATTTACTCAATCTAGAGTGTGTGCGTTTCCAACCGTAAGCACCACGCCACGCACAGAAAACCAAGACAATCTTTTCAACAGAATCTATCTGATTACATCTGCCAAAGCCCGGCTTAAATAATGGGGCGCCAAAAATGAATGCTCAGAAGCACATCTGAGCGGCTTCATTTCTTTCCTCCCACTGTGCTTTCAGGAGATGCCACAAGTCCCCTTTCCTCCGACCTTCCCTGGCCTGTTCCTCTCATTTCTCTTTCACGCTGACTATTGGGCTCTAATGCTATTAGAGCTCATTATGGGGCTCTCTATGATTTTAATGTGTTTGTCCCCCTCTCTTCTTTCCCCAGCTACTACTTCTCTCATTGCCTTAAGTCTCTTCTTCCCCCCCCCCGCCCCCATTAGAATGAGAAAGTCTCTATCCCTTGAAGAAAGTTCTTTCCTACCCTGAACTCTGCTGATCCTTAATAACACTTCCAAACTTACCCTATGACAAAACAACACTTTGTGAGTACCTACCACGTGTCATAAACATTTACATCTAATCCTCACAATCACAGAGGCCAAGTTTGCCATTCCCATTTTACAACTGGAGAAACCAAGGCAGAGAGAGATCAGGTGACTTGCCCAATGTCACACAGGTGGTAGGCGCTCCAGCCAGGGTTTGAACCCATGGAGCCTGGCTCCACTCCCATGCTTCCGACCGTGAGATGACACTGCCTTTCCAGAGCCTCCCTGCCATTTCCTTGAGCCACCTTCAAGGACTATCTATGTGTTCCCCATCATTTTTCTCAGCCAGCTTCTCTCTCTGCATAGGGATCTCCCTCCTCAGAGGATCTCTGTGTCCCCTTCACCATCACCCCACCGACCATCACCCCACCGGTCCATCACTCTCCTTCCTGGGTACCCAGTCTTCCCCCAGCCAGGGCAGGGAGGGCACAACTCTGCAGGCAGATTTCTTTAGGAAGGTTGGAAGATGCCAGGCTAACACACAGGAGGTCAGAATTATAAACAATGATAGAACTTATTATTTAAGGATGACAGAATTCAACTACCCATCCAATGTCTGACACTCCAGCATAACATTCCAGTGTCCAATGGACATCCCTCCTAGGTCCAGCCAGGGACACAGAGGTCCCAAGGAGCCCACCCCAAAATTCAAAGGCCTGCAACTTCTAGAAGTTTCCTTCTAATATTAAACCAGAATCTGTCTCCTCTCAGAAGCAAATGTAAATCCTATTTGGAGAAAAACATCTCCAATTTAGATCCTCAGGATTTCCACAAAGCTCACTGAAAGGTGAAATCACAATGAAAAAAAAAAAAAAGGTCAGGGGCACCTGGGTGGCTCAGTGTGT